TATAAAGAGGATCTGAAAATTTTTTTAATCCAGTCTAAAACTTCTATCCAAGAATGAAAAATTCCTGGTGTTTTGCCTTTAATAACAAATTTAGACTTAGAAGATTTTAAAATACATATAAAAGAACTTTTAGAATTAGGAGTTAATAGAAAATCAGAAAGTCCTCATAGATCAGCAGCCTTTATTGTTAGAAAACATTCAGAAATTGTTAGGGGAAAAAGTAGAATGGTAATTAATTATAAAAGATTTAATGATAATACTATAGATGATGCTTACAACATACCAGATAAAACGGTTTTAATAAATAAAATATAAGACTGTAAAATTTTTAGTAAATTTGATTTAAAGTCAGGATTTTGGCAAGTAAAAATGCACCCAGAAAGTATTAAATGGGTAGCTTTTACTTGTCCAAAAGGACATTTTGAATGACTTGTAATGCCATTTGGAATTAAAAATGCGCCTAGTATTTTTCAAAGAAAAATGGAAAATATTTTTAATAAACATAGTAAGTTCGTAATAGTATATATAGATGATATTTTAGTATTCGGTAAAAATAGAAGAGAACATAGACGACATTTACAAATAGTTTTTTCAGAATTTATTAAACATGGTCTAATAATTAGTAAAAAGAAAATAATTTTATTTAAAGAATTTATAGATTTTTTAGGAGTTAATATAGGAGAAGGAAAAATTAAGTTACAACCTCATATAACTTAGAAAGCTTTAGAATTTTCAGATAAACTTGAAGATTTAAAACAAATTCAAAAATTCTTAGGATTAGTAAATTATGTTAGACCATTTATAAAAGATTTAGGAAAAATTGCAGGACCTCTATATGCAAAGACCTCTCCTACAGGACAAAGATTTTTTAATCAAGAAAATATAAAGTTAGTACAACAAATAAAATAAAAAATAAAAACTTTACCAGAATTGGCCATGCCATTAAATTCAGAATATTTAATTATTGAAACAGATGGAAGTATGATAGGATGGGGAGCTATATTAATATGCAAGCCAGAAAGAATTTGTAGATATAATAGTGGAAATTATAAAGAAAAAGGAAATTTAAGTAGTATAGATGCAAAATTATTAGCCATAAATTATGCAGTAGATAGTTTTGAATTGTTTATTATAGCTAAGAAAGAAATAACTATAAGAACAGATTGTGTAGCTATAGTCTCTGTTGTGAATAAAATGAAAATAGATTCAAAAAGAAGTAGTCGAAGAAGATGGTTAAATTTTATAGACAGAATTACAAATACAGGAATTAATATAGAATTTAAGCATATTAAAGGTAGTGATAATAAAGTAGCAGATATTTTAAGTAGAATAATGATAAATAGAAATTATTAAAATTGTTTAACATGATTTTGTTATACAGATGTCCAGACCAAGACCTTTAAGACCAGGAATTCCACCAGGGAATTCATTTGCATCAAGTTCTTTACCACAGACTCCATTTAATCAGAACAGACCAATGTTACAAGACAGATAAAGGTTTAGAAACCAAGAACGGATAGTTTTTCCAAATAGTAATATTTCTTTTAAAATTTTACCTCATATTTCTTTATCCAGAGAAGAAAAATGTATTTTAGATAATTTATGGATTTCATATAATAAGAATCCAAAAGATCAAAAATATTTTCTTGCATGCATGAATGTATTATCAGAACATTTTAGTCAGAACAAGCAAAAATTTAAATTTTATGTTGTTATTAAAGGTAAAACACCAGGAATTTTCCATTCTTGAATAGAAGTTTTAGACTGCATTAAAAATTTTCCAGATCCTCTTTATAAAGGTTTTACAAGTTTTCAAGAAGCTTTTGACACAGCAAGACAGCATATAGGAATAAATTTTTATTTATCTCCTTTAAAAAACTACTCTGATGCCCCATTAGACTTTTCTCCAAGTAAAGATCAGAATATTTTTTGCCAACACTGTGAGTGTATGCAAGGAAATTACAAAGTTATTAATGAAGCAAACCAGAATCTTTCATTAGAAAGAACCCAACTCCAAAAGAAAGTGGCCCAACTAGAAAAAGAGATTTTGGATTTAAAAGTCCATTACCCAAAAGGTACTATGGAGCCCAAGAAGTCTATAGCTAGTCCAGCCCAAACGATAGCTGGTAAAGATTTATCAAATCTGTTTAAGGTTGTGGACCTACCAAAAGTTCAACAGACTCAGGGGACTGTTGATTCCTCTACTAAATCAGACTCAGCAGACTGATAAATCTGCTACAGACAAAGGTAAAGAGATTTGAGATCTTTTAGGACAATCTAGTGGAAAATTTGATTATTTAGTTAAATATAGTCCACCAGAACATTTTTCAAACAACCCAGATCTTTCACAAACCCAAGAAATTTAGTCCAGTAAAGAAAAGGGAAAAATGGTTGTTCAAGATAGCCAAGAACTTTTTCAAGATGCATAAGACTCCAATCAAGATACTGTATCCTTAGAAAAGATTTTTGAAAAAATTGAAGAATTTCAGAAACAATCAAAAAAAGAAGAAGGAACTTCTTCAAAAAGAAAGAAAAAGATTAAGAAGAAAAATGATGAAGAATTGAAAGAACAAATTAAAGAAGCAGTAAATCAAGCATTTGAGACAATTTTAAAAAAGAACCATGGAGAAAAAAAGAAATTGCAGAATGCCCAGATCAAAAGGAAAAAGATGAAGCCAGTCCTTCTAGACTTTCAGATGAAGATCCACAGAATGAAAGATACAATAATTCAGATAGTAGGATGTCATTTTCATCAGTGGTACGCCATAATCTTAGCATATAAGAAGATTTCCAATAATTCAGAAAAAGACAAAGTTTGACAGAAGAAAAGTTGAAGAATCTTTGCTGTAGACTTTTTGAATAATTAGAAAAGATGTCGGGATTTTTCAAAAGAAAGATTCTCACTTAAATTATTTTAGACACTTGTTAGATATTTGATTTGTCAGAAGCTTCTCGGTGAAGTGAGTGCATTTCCCATTAAGGCTAAAATAGACTTTTTGCTCCCAAGAATTTT